GGCTAGGTTAGGTTAGGGTTGGTTAGGCTAGGTTAGGTTAGGGTTGGTTAGGCTAGGTTAGGTTAGGGTTAGTTAGGCTAGGTTAGGGTAGGGTTGGTTAGGCTAGATTAGGTTAGGGTTAGTTAGGCTAGGTTAGGGTAGGGTTGGTTAGGCTAGGTTAGGTTAGGGTTGGTTAGGCTAGGTTAGGGTAGGGTTGGTTAGGCTAGGTTAGGTTAGGGTTAGTTAGGCTAGGTTAGGTTAGGGTTAGTTAGGCTAGGTTAGGTTAGGGTTAGTTAGGCTAGGTTAGGGTAGGGTTGGTTAGGCTAGGTTAGGTTAGGGTTGGTTAGGCTAGGTTAGGTTAGGGTTAGTTAGGCTAGGTTAGGGTAGGGTTGGCTAGGTTAAGGTAGGGTTGGTTAGGCTATGTTAGGTTAGGGTTAGTTAGGCTAGGTTAGGTTAGGGTTAGTTAGGCTAGGTTGGGGTAGGGTTGGTTAGGCTAGGTTAGGGTAGGGTTGGTTAGGCTAGGTTAGGTTAGGGTTAAGTTAGGTTAGGGTTAAGTTAGGCTAAGTTAGGGTAGGGTTGGTTAGGCTAGGTTAGGGTAGGGTTGGTTAGGGTAGGTTAGGGTAGATTTGGTTAGGGTAGGTTAGGGTAGGTTTGGTTAGGCTAGGTTAGGCTAAGCTAGGTTAGGTTGGTTAGGCCGATTGATACTCGTGCTGTGCTAAAAATAATTAATATAACCAAAATTAAAATTTGCTAAATATAAGTAAACTTATAATCTACTAAATATAAGTAAAAGTAAAATGATAAGTAAATAATAGGACGTAAATCTAAAAAAAAAATATAAGTGAAATAACTGAACTAAATGATAATGTATAAACATGTAATTACAGAATAGCAGTAGTTAGGCTTCGCTGGGAACTAGCCTACTTAGAGTAACGAGTGCAGCAGGTAAAGTAACTATATGGTACTTTACATATAACTTGAAAATAAGATAACAAGTAAATTAGCTGCAACCCCCATGAAGATAACAGTAAGTTAACATTAAAGGATAAAAGTTAACAGTATTTAACACCTGCTGGACAAGCCTAATTACTGATGACTGATAACAATAAGGAGGCGAGCCAGGTGTGAGGCGGGCCGGGTGTGAGGCGGGCCGGGTGTGAGGCGGGCCAGGTGTGAGGCGGGCCGGGTGTAAGGCGGGCCAGGTGTAAGGCGGGCCAGGTGTGAAGCGAGCCAGGTGTGAGGCAACACAGGTGACCAACATCTTAGCTTGCTAACACAAGGTACACACCTGGCCCAAACACCTGAAAGCAGCGCAGTGTCAGTCACATATGTGCTGGACACCTTAGGGACATGATGCCACCGGCTGCTGAAGTGCATAGACAGTAAGGGAAGACCAGGTGTGTGGGGTGGGGGGGGGGGTCCAGTGTAGCCCACACACACAACAGAAGGCCAGGTGTGTGTGCTGGGGGGTCCGGTGTAGACCACACACACACCTGGTGGTCCAGGTGAGTGGGGTCACCAGGCTTGGACTGGTAGCCAGTTACAGGAATTTATAACCCAATGGGTTAAAAAAAGCATCTCCTGTTTACTGTCCAATATTAGTGGCTTGTTGAGCTTGTATCTGTTGTTCACTGTTACATCCGGCTTGTATCTGTTGTTCTCTGTTACATCCGGCCTTGTGGAGAAGTGGTCTGGCTCTGTCTCCTCCATATTCAATATTTTCAAAGTCTTGGGTCCCGTCTATATTTAAGACTTGTTCACATTAGAGATCTAGACAGCTTTGGAATTCTAGAAACAATTGGTATTTTCAGATATCAAATATGTGTCAAATATGCAGGCGATGAGTCACAATAACGTGGCTGAAGTATGTTGACCAGACCACACACTAGAAGTTGAAGGGACGACGACGTTTCGGTCCGTCCTGGACCATTCTCAAGTCGAGAATGGTCCAGGACGGACCGAAACGTCGTCGTCCCTTCAACTTTTAGTGTGTGGTCTGGTCAACATGTGTCAAATATATTTAGATTTAGAATTTATTTATATGCAAGAGAGAGTCTGAGAGAGAGACTGAGAGAGAGACAGACAGACAGACAATTAGAGCAAGCTCTATCATGGCCGCCATAAAGCCATGTTTGCGTCATCATCAAACAAGATCTGTCATTTTCACTTTCATCTCCTTAACGTAACTTGCCTTTTGTCAAGAACTGAAAAATTCAGATTAAAAAATATATATATTTTTAATTTTAGTGAATTAATTGTGGAGGCTCTGGAGGTGTACTCGCATATTTGTACCCACACCTGGTGATGCTTACTTGGTAGAGTTCTAGCTCCCAAGCTCCACCCGTGTCCTCTGGTCCTGCCTCATCTGTGTCGCTAGCTTCCACCCGTGTCCTCTGGTCCTGCTCAGTCACTGTGAGTTTCCTCAGCTCACTCAGCTACTGTGTGTTACCTCAGCTCACTCAGCCACTGTGAGTTTCCTCAGCTCACTCAGCCACTGTGAGTTCCTGACAGTGCTGCATACTCAAAAGTTGGTCTTACGTAGGTCCTGGAACTCAGCAGTTCTACCAATGAGTAACTGAGCAGTTCCACCACTGAGTAACTGAGCAGTTCCACCACTGAGTAACTCACCAGTTCCACCACTGAATAACTGAGCAGTTCCACCACTGAGTAACTCACCAGTTCCACCACTGAGTAACTCAGCAGTTCCACCACTGAGTAACTCAGCAGTTCCACCACTGAGTAACTCAGCAGTTCCACCACTGAGAAACAGAGCAGTTCCACCACTGAACAACTGAGCAGTTCCACCACTGAGTAACTGAGCAGTTCCACCACTGAGTAACTCACCAGTTCCACCACTGAGTAACTCACCAGTTCCACCACTGAGTAACTCAGCAGTTCCACCACTCAGTAACTCAGCAGTTCCACCACTGAGTAACTCACCAGTTCCACCACTGAGTAACTCACCAGTTCCACCACTGAGTAACTCACCAGTTCCACCACTCAGTAACTCAGCAGTTCCACCACTCAGTAACTCAGCAGTTCCACCACTGAGTAACTCAGCAGTTCCACCACTCAGTAACTCAGCAGTTCCACCACTGAGTAACTCAGCAGTTCCACCACTGAGTAACTCAGCAGTTCCACCACTGAGTAACTCAGCAGTTCCACCACTGAGTAACTCACCAGTTCCACCACTGAGTAACTCAGCAGTTCCACCACTGAGTAACTCAGCAGTTCCACCACTGAGTAACTCAGCAGTTACACCACTGAGTAACTCAGCAGTTCCACCACTGAGTAACTCAGCAGTTCCACCACTGAGTAACTCAGCAGTTCCACCACTCAGTAACTCACCAGTTCCCCCACTGAGTAACTCAGCAGTTCCACCACTCAGTAACTCACCAGTTCCAGCACTGAGTAACTGGACAGTTCCAGCACTGAGTAACTGGACAGTTCCACCACTGAGTAACTGGACAGTTCCACCACTGAGTAATTGAGCAGTTCCACCACTGAGTAACTGAGCAGTTCCACCACTTTCCTGTGTTTACATGTATTACATTGTGTAATAATCCAGTTTTAAGTTCGATTTTTGGGTCGAGTCTGACGCTATGGAGTTGTGGATGGAGGTGGCTTATAAAGCTTCTTTCATTAGTGCTTTCCACTACCCGTAGAGGATGCCTTACTTTGAAGTTACTTTGAGATGATTTCGGGGCTTAGGGTCCCCGCGGCCCGGTCCTCGACCGGGCTAGTTGCTGGACTGGTCAACCAGGCTGTTGGACGCGGCAGCTCGCAGCCTGATGTATGAGTTACAGCCTGGTTGGTCAGGTATAATATTACTATTAGTCTCATTATCCTTGTGGCGGCGTGTGGGTGGCTGTGGGCGGCGTGTGGGTGGCTGTCTGGGGCGTGTGGGTGGCTGTGGGCGGCGTGTGGGTGGCTGTCTGGGGCGTGTGGGTGGCTGTGGGCGGCGTGTGGGTGGCTGTCTGGGGCGTGTGGGTGGCTGTCTATGGCGTGTGGGTGGCTGTCTGGGGCGTGTGGGTAGCTGTGGGCGGCGTGTGGGTGGCTGTCTGGGGCGTGTGGGTGGCTGTGGGCGGCGTGTGGGTGGCTGTGGGCGACGTGTGGGTGGCTGTGGGCGGCGTGTGGGTGGCTGTCTGGGGCGTGTGGGTGGCTGTGGGCGGCGTGTGGGTGGCTGTGGGCGGCGTGTGGGTGGCTGTGGGCGGCGTGTGGGTGGCTGTCTGGGGTGTGTGGGTGGCTGTGGGCGGCGTGTGGGTGGCTGTGGGCGGTGTGTGGGTGGCTGTGGGCGGCGTGTGGGTGGCTGTGGGCGGTGTGTGGGTGGCTGTGGGGTGGCTGTCTGTGGGCGACTGCGGCGTGTGGGTGGCTGTGGGCGGCGTGTGGGTGGCTGTGGGCGGTGTGTGGGTGGCTGTGGGCGGCGTGTGGGTGGCTGTGGGCGGTGTGTGGGTGGCTGTGGGCGGCGTGTGGGTGGCTGTGGGCGGCCTGCCTGACACCGGATCGATACAAGTTTAAGAAAAACAAGGACACAGTGAACACAATCTTTCCTCGACACAGCAGACACACCCGAGGTACAGCAGACACACCCGAGGTACAGCAGATACACCCGAGGTACAGCAGACACACCCGAGGTACAGCAGACACACCCGAGGTACAGCAGACACACCCGAGGTACAGCAGACACACCCGAGGTGCAGCAGACACACCCGAGGTGCAGCAGACGCACCCGAGGTACAGCAGACACACCCGAGGTACAGCAGACGCACCCGAGGTACAGCAGATACACCCGAGGTACAGCAGATACACCCGAGGTACAGCAGACACACCCGAGGTCCCCCTATTCCCCCCCCCCTGTTATCTTGAGGTTATCTTGAGATGATTTCGGGGCTTTTTAGTGTCCCCGCGGCCCGGTCCACGACCAGGCCTCCACCCCCAGGAAGCAGTCTGTGACAGCTGACTAACACCCAGGTACCTATTTTACTGCTAGGTAACAGGGGCATAGGGTGAAAGAAACTCTGCCCATTGTTTCTCGCCGGCGCCTGGGATCGAACCCAGGACCACAGGATCACAAGTCCAGCGTGCTATCCGCTCGGCCGACCGGCTCCGTTCCTCAGTGTCGACACTGTTCCTCAGTGTCCTTGTTCAGCAAGACTGTTGTGGTGGGCGTGAGCTCCGTGTGCCGGGAGCCGGAGGTGGCCAGGGAGCAAGTGCTTGCCGTGGCCACACTCTCTATGACACGGCAACACTGTGCTTGCCAGCACGCGATAATTATATGTAAACATTGTCTCTCCTCTGGGACACTGAATTATTAGCTGAGGCTCTCTGCTGACTGTTCCAGCTGCTGCTTTTGTTGCTCCAGCTGCTGCTGCTACTGCTGCTGTTGCTCCAGCTGCTGCTACTGCTGCTGCTGTTATTGCTGCTTTGCTGCTCCAGCCACTGCTGTTACCTTTACTGTTGTCCTGTCATTCTACAGGAGTTGTGGAAGCTGTCAATGAGATGGGAAGAGTTGTGGAAGCTGTCAATGGGATGGGAAGAGTTGTGGAAGCTGTCAATGGGATGGGAAGAGTTTTGGAAGCTGTCAATGAGATGGGAAGAGTTGTGGAAGCTGTCAATGAGATGGGAAGAGTTGTGGAAGCTGTCAATGGGATGGGAAGAGTTGTGGAAGCTGTCAATGGGATGGGAAGCGTTGTGGAAGCTGTCAATGGGATGGAAAGAGTTGTGGAAGCTGTCAATGGGATGGAAAGAGTTGTGGAAGCTGTCAATGAGATGGGAAGTGTTGTGGAAGCTGTCAATGGAAAGGGGCGGCCAATGTCTGAGGTTTGTGTTACATTTAAAGGCTCCAAAACCCTTTATTTACACTTGTGTTGTCTGTTTGTTGGAGAAACTTTCCCTTAGACCGTCTGTCTCTTTCTGTCTCTCTCCCTCTCTATCTCCATCTCTACTCCTCTCTATCTCATTGCCTCTGTTTCTCTCCCTCCTGTCTGTCTCTCTCCGTCTGGGTTGATACACGTCTCTTTCTCGCTCTCTGTCTATCTGTCTGTTTAACTCTCTGTCTCTCTCTCTTCTCACTCTTTCCTCCGCTTCATTTTCTCATCTCCACTTTATCACCATTCTTTTCTTCCTTCCTTATCCATCATGACTCTTTTACCCGAACCTTTTCCCAAGTTTATCTAGGGTTCCTCTGTCTACCCTCTCTGTCCCTCCCCTCCTCTTGTCTACCATCTCCCCTCTCCTCTACATTGTCTACCCTTCCCTCATTTATTCTGCCTATCGCTCTCTACCTCTACTTCTCATCCATTCTCCTCCCTCTCAATCTACGTTTCTCTCCTTTCCCAGTCAGCTCCCACTCGTTACTGTTCCAGTTTCTCCCTTTCTGTTACTGCCACATCCGTTCCTTTCTGCCTTATCCCGTCACTTTCGGTTCTACCCCTCACACATTTTCAGCCATTTCCACTCTCTCTCTCCTCCTGCTCCTGATCCTTCTGCTCCTGCTGCTTCTACTGCTCCTGATCCTTCTGCTCCTGCTGCTGCTGCTGCTGCTCCTGCTGCTCCTGCTGCTTCTACTGCTCCTGATCCTTCTGCTCCTGCTGCTGCTGCTGCTGTTCCTGCTGCTGCTCCTGCTCTGTAGCTAGAGTTCCTCCTGTTCATTAGGACCAGTCAACTCTTCCTTTGACTGGTACATACCAGTCACCGACACTGTACACACACTTGTGTCTAGAAGCCCTCGTAGTCTCAGCTCAGATGTTAGTCTTGTATTTCGTCAATGTCTGCAGGCCAGCGCCAGGATTCGTGAAGCGTTTACCACAACCACTTACGAAACCTGTGCATCTTTCCTCGAGCGTAATGGCTTTGTTTTACATTTATTAAGCGAATTTTGAGTTTTGTAGCACTACGAAGTTATTTATGACAATAATAAACTTGGATTGAGAAGTTTCGATGCATATAGGTCTATCGTCAAGCCCAACCACTTGGGCTGGACGGTAGAGCGAAGGTCTTGCATCATGCAGGTCGGCGTTCAATCCCCGACCGTCCAAGTGGTTGAGCACCATTCCTCTTCTTCTTGAGAATAGGCGCAGTTTGCATGAAGGGGTAACCCTCCCGATGACTGCACCAGGACAGATGTAAGGAGACGCGTTGACGGTCAGGAGGAGAAGAAAGTCAAAAGCGGTAGAGGTGATGGGCCGTAGAGAGAGGAGAGGCGACGAAAACAGAGGCGAACGTTAGAGGGAGACTCCCCGCACCGGGGGGGTGGGGCGTCGTGATCACGGTGGCAGCTGATCCATGCACGGCTTAGCAGCGTGCGCAAGACGGGAACTAATACTTCTCCGGAAACTTGTGTATCGGAAAGCGCAAGCAGTACGCTTCCCAAATCACCCGCAGGTCGGCGGGCAGCCGGCCACCAGGCGGCGCCCTCGGCTGAGACATCCTATCCGGCACCCTATACACAAACTCCTTCACCCGCGACACCCAGACAGTGGACGAGCACCACGGGATCGGAAGCACCCGGGCATCCCGATAAGGGCCCAACTCCGGACCCTCACAGGGCACGACCCCAGCAGACGGGACTAGGCAATCCCCAGACTGGAGCAAGGAAGGAGGGGAGACAGCAGGGGACGCAGGCGCGGCACCGACCCCACCACCGGGCACAGGAGCCGAGGCCCTCTGGCGCACATCTTTCCGCAACAGCACTACGAGGTCCCGACCATCAGGGACAAGCCCCCACTGTGGAGAGCTAACAGCAGGAGACGCAGGAGGAGAGGCACAGATAGCAACTTCGGAGCCCCTCACAGCACCATCAATCTCGGCGGGGAAGCCAGATCACCATACTCCCCCACCTCCTCCCAAGGCACACCACGAAGGGGAGACACACTCCGAGCCCGCCGGGAACGCTTCGAGACAGGCCTCACCACACCACGCCCAGCAGGCCCCGCCGCAGGCACGGCCACCATCTTTACATCCACACAGGCCACACCCGCACCGTCCGAAGAGTCCACAGAGGCCACATCACCCACACTGTCCACATCATCCAGGGAAACAGCCTCAGAACACCGACGCGCACGCTTCTGCAAAGGGATGGAAAGAGCAGAACCACACTCACCAACACACACAGACACGGCAGGCACCTCCCCCTGCCGAAGCACCCCCTCTAAAACAGCAGAACCCGCGTCCCCGGGAGCCGGTATCACATCCACAGGTGGGGGCGGGACATGGACCTCCACAGAGACATCCTGCACTACACGCAGCTCAGGCGACGGCCCGACACCCACACACACCGGCTCAACAACCCCAGGGGCCACAGCAGTCACCTGACGTGTCGCCGTAGAACTCGCCCCAACAGGCGGAGCAGCAGACAGGCAATCAGGCGCCTCAGGCACAGCACCTACTCCGTCCTCAGAACCGTCCGAACGTAACAAGGGCGGGAAATCCTCTGCACGAAAAACATGCACCCTACCAGTTGCTCCCACGTCGCACGCCGCAGCCAGGTGACCCTCGTGACCACACCGATAACAGGTGCGCGGTTGACCCCGGTACAAGCAGCGGAGCGTGTAACCCAACACGGACATCGACGACGGTACACTACACTTCAACGACATCGTCAGGGTGCGGGAGCCGTCAAGCATACCAACACAGTGCCCGGCAACGACCTTGTTCCAACGAACACTTAACACGGTCCCAAATCGGCCAAAACAGGAGGTTAAAAAGTCGTCCTGAAATTCGAAGGGGGCACCATGCACCGCCACAGACGTCAAGGTGACACTAAGATTCACCACCTTAACTGAGCCAGCGGAATCAGGGAGAGGGTAAACACGCCCCTCACAACGCTCGAGAAACACCTGAAA